GGATCGAGGGCCAGAGTAGCTTACACTCATGGAAAACAGTGTCTGTGTTTGCTTGCAACACTCTTTTTTTCTTTTTTTCTATTTTTTTTTTACGTGTATCTGGATTGCAAGTCTGCGTGCGCTCTCATCATGCGTCTCTTTTTTTTTTCGTTACTGAAAGAAAGAACGAAAGACCCAAAAAATAAAATAAAAAAATCAAAACAAAGAAAGAAAGAAAAAGAGAGCAATGCCAGGCGTCCCAATTCTCTCCCCGATGGGCCCACATTACTCTCGTTTTCCGTTCAGCAGGGGGCTACCGTGTTCCCCCGAACACAACGCACCCTCATTTTTGGCTGTATCTGGCCGGAACTACTATCGCTTCTATACATTCATTTTTTGGGTGCGTTATGCTCGGGGGTAGACGGTTGCCGTCTGCTGTTTTCATTGGTCAGATTCGAGCCCACGTTCTGTTGACTAACAGCAAACGCGTGTTTGCGGCACCCAGCCACATGGGCTGGGCTGGGCTGGGCCCACACAAAAGAGAGGTCCTCCACTCGGTCTCCGCTGCAGTGTCCCCCGCATTGCGTGCGGTCCAAGCGGTCCATGGGCTTGCTTGCCGTGTTTTCTGCGCTGCTCGCATCGTAGTAGCTCCGTACGACGGAACTACCCTGTAGGTACCGCCTTCAGGGCCTCGCTCCACAACCCTGGAAATGCACAAAGACACAAATCGTGGTGGTGTATCTTTGCATGTTCTCGCGGAAGACTCAGGGCATCGCCACACCACTCTCGAAATGTGAAAAATGAAAATGAACTTCCCCCTAAAACATGACCAGATGCGCCCTCCACAGTTCTGTCTTTTTCACATTTCGAGAGTGGTGTGGCGAGGCCCTCACTCTCGTTTTGCACCTATCGAGAGTGGTGGACAGAGGGCCTCACCTCTGCCTGCAAGGCCCGCCGCTCCCAGGTCGCTCCCAAGTCACCTGGGCAGAGAACCGGAGTTGTCTTTTGTCTGTTTTTGTTTTTTAATTCAATTACCTGTCAAATCTGGACAGGACGTGCTTTAAGGCCTTTTTTGTTGTCATTATAGTCTTACGGGGAACCACCTAGCAGCCACATCCGTGCTCAAGCCTTCAACGAGGGAACATGCGGGAGCTGCACCCACCAGCAGGTGCGATACCTGCTACAGCAGGTGGGCGATACCGGGTGATCAATTCACACAGCATCAATATTGTCATTAGCATAGCGACAGAGCATCAACGGTGTCGGCCTAAAGGCCTAAAACCAGACTCAAACTCAAGCATGACGACCAGAGACGTTGACCAGGAGGGAGAGAAAGACAGACAAGAGGGGGAAAAAAGACAAGACACGTCAACATCTCCCGAACGCGAGGCAGGCTCGCATAAAAATTTCCATGAAGCACCAGCCTGTAAGGCTCAACTCTCATGTAGGCATCGTGCCCATAACGTATCAACCATAGCTGAGCTCCCGGCAACGACCCTACATGTTTCATCCAGAGCCGGTTCCGGAATCATCAGGGGTCTTCACGCATACGAGTGCCTGTATGTGACGCGCAACCTCACGCCCTGTGCTGTCTTTCGTTCGGAGTGTTAAGCAGGCGGAAAGAGGCCCAGAAAAACAGCAAGATGGGGTGTGCCAAGGATTTTTGGAAATTGAGTGTGGGGACACAGATGGAACTGAAATCCCCCGTGTTGGTCCGATGGAGCTAGTCGATTATTTTCGCGCGYCGCGGAACGCGCGCGYGGACATGGCGCGAAAACAGAGAGATACAAATTCAATYCAAAAARTATTGTCGGGCTTCCCACCGGGCTACAGCCCGTCRCTTGGAACGGAAAGGCTCYGACACGCTTCTCGTGTCTCGTTTCCATATCAGATCTCGTCGTCGTTCGYTGGTTAGTTCCGAGTCTGTCGTGGATGGTCTMAGYCGAGTGGCTCTTTCCTTATGCTCGTCCTCACCCCGTATTTGGTAGTGGACGCCTTTCGATTCGTAGCAATCGAAACGCTSGCACTCAGTGCACAAGGTTCGAGGCCAATGAGKCGCCACTGCCGCCCACAGAATGACGATCAATTCGTTAAAGGGGAGCAATATCGAGTAGGGTGGGAAATGGGTATCGATAATGACAAARCCCGCATCTACGAATCCAGAACAACGATTTTCGGGAGGGAAGAAGTATTGTCCGCTGATTCGTGCGACGACTTCTCGTACGTCCCACTCACATACACRTGTCCTTTCCTCGTTATAGGGAAAATATCGCGTTGGGATGGGAGATACGGGAGGCTGRCGCCCAATCGAAGGATGCTTGTCAGTCCACATATCAATCAATCACAAATATCCCTGAGACGTCATTAGCGACAAAAATCATTCGCGCAATCCTCAWTCAATCCTTCTTGACACGAGAGAGGGAGCAAACACACKCATCAGCTTGGTGGCTTGGCTGCTGATGTCGTGCAGCATAAGGCAGATTGGCATGCGCAGTGCATTCRGAACTACATGTCTAAACACTCTTGCATTCTCGAACAAAATTCCCACGACAATCGCCTAATAAAAAAAAAGAGTCACACATTTCCATACATGCATTCACTGTGGAAGGTGCGAAAATGAGATATGCATCGGAGAAGATGAATTGCACAGTACACACGCATCCACCGTTCACAAAACAAGAAGGCGGGGTCTTTGTGTAGGAGGATTACCCAGGAAACTAATGGAAGAGTTCCGGAAGAAGTTCTTTTACCCAAGGGAAGCACACCGATTCGCTCCTACTCAGGAGAGATAGAGAGAGACAATCAATCGAGACACATCATTATTCAAAAGTAAAGAAAAGAGAAGGG